TAGCAGCGGGGGCTTGTGCCGAGAGGCGGTGTCCCGAGCCGGACGGGCTCGCGCCTCCTCGGGGCACGTTGCGGTGCAGCGCTTGCCCGGGGGGGCTGCGACTGCGACGGAAAGTCCGCCGGTGCCGCCACCGCTCCCCCGCCGGCCGCGACTGTTGCCTGCGGGGCAGGTGGTTTCAGCGCGGGGAGTGGCAGGGCATCACTGCGGTGCCTGTAAAATACTGTGTCATTAGAGGCCCAATCCTCCAGCTGGGGTCGGAGGCAGGCAGGAGGATGGGTGCGCGCTAGGCCTGCCTGCAGCCACCACCTTCCCCCCGCAGCCCAGGGAGAGTGCGCCCAGCAGCCCATGCCGCTCCAACCCCACGTCTACAAGCTGGATCCAGAGACTGCAGGGCTGGATCCGGCCCCTAGGCTATAGATTACCAACCCTGATGGATGACTAACGGTGGGGCTCAGAGGAGTGTTTATGCCTCTGAAATCTTCCACTTCCTAGGAGGCTTTCCACTTGGGTTGCACCTGATGGAGGGGCAGTAACAGAAGTGAGAGGCGCTGACGGCAGCTGGTAGGGTGGTGGTAGCAGGATCTGGGTGTAGGGGCAACAAAATAGATCTCATGGGCCTGGTGAGTGGCCCCAAATCTTTCAGGGAAGGGACACTTTGTCAGTTTGGGGGTTGAACAGTTCTGTTTCCTCAAAGAGCAGATTAGCTGAGTCCTGGGACCCTGGGGACCCCAGAGGCTTGTAGCCAGGACAGTTGTGGTGACCACAGCCCAAGAAGTTGTGTCCGCTGCATCCAGGGCTGTCCTTTACATGGTCTCGTCCGTCCACTGGTTCTCTGAAAGCAAAGGCAGAAAAGGTTCTGCCTGGTTATGGGACAGTGTCTTTACGTATTTGGCCACCCCCTTGTGTGCTTTGAAATTATGTGACAGCAGTGCCCAGTAGTTTGTGATAAGAAACTGGAGGCTTGCAGAGGATTAGGTCCTTCTTATTTAATAAATCTGTCTGTCCAACAAACCTGTTTCTTAGGAACCAGCCCAGATTATCAACTTTTTTCACGGGCTGCTGCTACCCCAAGAGATGATGCGGGGGTGGCTTGGGGGTAAGAAAATAAGTAT